CGATGGCCCCAGCACAGTTGTGGAACCCTATTATTTCTGGAACTTTTCTTATGGCAACTGCCTTGGGGTAAATGACAGTGTTAACTGCCTCACAAACCTGCACAACCTTGATCCCGACAGTAAACTTTCCAACCCCTAAGTGCTTTGCAAAAGACCTATAGCTGTCTGGTGTAGCCAGTTTCCATAGGACAGTGGCTTCCCTGAATTGACAGTTGTGGCTCTTGCCACACAGATCCTTGAAGGTTGGGTGACTATATGTCCCGTTTTGGCCGGGACAGTCCCTTAGCCCTGTCCCGGCCATCCCAATTTTTTGGCAAAAGTAAGCATTTGTCCCATTTGCTCTTGTCAACTGATCAAGTTGGCAAGAGCAAATGGGACAAATGCCCACTTTTGTCAAAAAATTGGGGTGCTGTACAATCGGAGGAACATGTGGGGTGCAAGCGAAGATGCCAGCCCCATGCAGGGGGGAGGCAGGGCTGGGTGGAGGCAGGCAGGGTTCCAGCATGCAGGGGGCTAGCAGGGTTTGAGCGACCAACGACTGCCTGGCACGGGGGGGGGGAGGGGAGCTCTGTGGAGGAAAGGGGAGCTTCTAGAGAGTGGCTGCAGAGCGGGGCTTGGGCCAGCCCCGCTTGGAGTCCCATTTTCCCTTTGGGAAATATGGTCACCCTACTTGAAGGTCTGTTTCCTCATACAGAAGTTCTGAAGCCACTGCTGGTCATCCCAGATTTCCAAAATGCTGTGACCCCACAACATGCTCATTCTCCTGCACTAGAACCAAAGGTCAACCAAGAGCATACCATGACAATAGCAGCATTTACCATATCTGTACTGTGTGAACTGAACTAATTGTCCTTGACCCTCAAAGTCAGCTGCCTTCAACAAGTCAAAAAGTGTTGCCCAAATTCCATCCAGCATCTCACCAAATCGCTACTCCACAGCATAACCATTTGTACCACAATAAGGAACAGGAACAGAATCAGATCATCATCCAATTGCTCTATGACTTTCACCCAGTTTTGCAGGGAATAACAGTGTGGGAAAAGTGATCAGTAATTGCCTTTAACAAATGTGTTAAGTCGGGGACAGTACCAACAAAAGACAGCAAAGAAGTTCCCAGAATGTCTCCCAGTGACTCGCAACACCCTGAGATGGTGCCCCTGAAATGGTAGTGCTAACATCATATACCGACAGTGACCGTGTGGATTCCATTCATTCTCTGGTCTTCTCATGTGATAATGCAGCTACAGGCTGCCCCTTACTCACTTACAGTCTAAAATACTAAAATGTGTTGGTAAATTTGTATGAAATCTATAAGAAATTTACTAGAAAACAATTCTTGTTTATATTTACTGCAACAAATATAGATTTGGTACCAGTGGCTGCAACTTCTCTGGCTTCAATGGAGCTGAACCCATTTTGCCAGATCTCAATTTGGTCTTATGTCTGCCATTTAGTCAATATAATGAGTGCAACAGAATGAAATCATACCCTCATACATTACCTAGGAAGAGGACTTCCCTTTACAGGGATTATCTTTAATGAAAACTTTAATTGTATAAGTTATACATGGAAGTTTCAGGCCCTTTAAAACAATATATGCCACAACTGCAATAATGATGTTTTGACTCAAACTGCAAATCTGCTTCATTGAGAGATCATTTCCACAATCTTTGTCTTTATTGGTTCAATGCCTTTTTAAAATACTGTTCAGTCATACACCCCTTCTTCTTTTGGGCAACCTTTACTGGTTTATCATCACTCATAAAAATAAGAACTATTTAGAAGAGCAAGGGTTGCAGGATCAGGCCTAGAAAGGAGGGTGAATGCCTTCTAATTGACATCAGTGCAACCCAGTGAAATTAATAAGTTTGTGAGGGTGTAACTGAGGGCAGAGTTTGAATAACAATTA